TAAAAAAAAAAATTTTGAATTTACTTACTTGTAGCCGGAGTTAGAGGCGGTCGGATACTTATGACCGCTACTGTAATTGATCAACGGCAATAAAATGGACAAATTAAACTACCAATTAAATCTATCTAAAATTTTACCCATCATAACGTACTAATGCACTAATAGTATAACTTTTATATTTAGCGTCAAGTTTTTTGAATAATTGAAAGGTTACCTTCCAAAAGTCGATTGAAATTGGATAAGACGTTCGATAATCAACGTCATCTTGTAAAAGATACAATGGTTTCAGCTATTATGAAAGCTTTGAATTCAGATACGTTTCCAGTTGTAAAGACTATCGTATATAATATGATTCACAATCGACATAAATATCAGCATGAAGAATATTTGAAAAGACAGCAATCATTGACCTTCTAAGATGAACAGGCCAGACGAAAGCATTCAAATAGTTGAAGGAATGATGTAATTTAACTAACGAAAAAATCCTATTTGACTCTTTTTATTCTTCATAATTCTATTATACTTAATAATTACAGAAACGAAAAAATCAGACTAATACAATTGAACACTTGAGAATCATCAATGATCCATTAGTTCAAATGTTCAAGGATAGTGAACTTCGGTCAATTAAGAATGATTCTGCATATCACTTGCCTGAGGTTTCTGAAACTGACGAGGATGATCCTTCTGGTAAAAGGAAGATTATTGTAAAGGATCTGAAATGATGCTCAATGACAGTGAGATAAATGAATGTTGTTTAAATTAAGCTTTTAATTATCATTTCACAAACTAATTTTTTCTTAATTTTATTTATAGTTACGATCATTTTTGCAGGATTATGTCAATCGTATATTTTCAGAATCATCTAAGATCCTGAAGAAACGAACCCGTATTTATGATAACGTTAATACACATGACAAGGAACTCACAGCACTATTCCAGGCTCCTAAGTGAACAATTGACAGTTACAAAAATTCTTTGAAGATAGCTGTCAGAAAGGCTTGTAGTGAGCGATCATCAAATACACTTTTCCAACGATTGAAGCCACTTGATCCAAATGATGACGAAAATGTTGATTTACAGCTGAGACAAACGAGAACAAAAGAAGAAAATCCAATGGAGAATTTATGGCCAAGACAGAGGAGACAACAAGTTGAAAACTGAGGATAATGAGGAAAGAAACAGACTAATCGTTCAAAATTAAGGACAATTTTAAGCTACTGTGAATTACTTATGAAACAATTAACAAATATTAAAAATTAAAAACAGTAATTTTATTTAATAGTATAAAATCCACTACACACTAGCATTTTATTATAGAACAGTGAATACATTTTGTAACCAATGCTAATAATGCTAATGATTTAATAAATTGAATAATATTTACATTTCATTAATAAAATCTGTAAAATATACATAAATCGGATATTTCTAATTAGTTTTTATCGATTACTATAAAGAATACCGATAAGATACAATAAAATAAGTCTGATATTACGGATGTAAAATTTGAGATCAATTGGAAGATTTCCGATTTTAATCTTCTTTTTAATTTTTACCAATGGTCCGTTCTATTGTCACCTGATGAATTCCCAATATAGCATTCTGATTTGGACCAGTTGTATTCCTATTTATACCATTAATTAACCACAATCAGCATTCGTAAATATTCTCTAATCGATATCTTGTCAGAGCCTAATAAGAAAGGCTATTGAGATCTGATTGGATGCCAATTTGTCATCGTTAAACTAGTGTTATCTAAATAGAAAAAGGTAAAATTTGGTGAAATTATATTAAAACCTTATTAAAAAATCTGTGAAATTTTAGAAAAGATAAAATTATATCAAAACTTATAAAAATGCGAAACTATATTAAAACCTTAGTAAAAAATTAGCGAAACTATAATTTAGATATTTTACCAAATTCAAAATGAGTTTAAATAAGCAACTTTAATTATAACTAATTGTAATTGGTAACAAATAAATATCATATAGTTATAATTAGTTATAATATTATCTTTAATTATAGAGATTTTAATTAGTATTAGTAAAAATAGGGAAGTGATAATCACTATAATTGAAAATAATCCTATTATTCAAATCACTGGTCAAAATAATTCAAATCAGCTAGAAATAAAATAGCCAATTTTAGGTTAATTTTGATACTATTTACAACTAATTTACTATGTTTTTCAATCAGCACAAACAGGTGCTGATAGATGCTAATTGATTTCAATTGAACATAACCATTTAGTATTAATTTAGAACTTAAATTTAACTATAAATCAGCCTAAAATTAGCCTTAATTAGATAACAATTTAGACATTGATAGATACTGATCGATTTCAATCAAACATAGCCATTTCAAAACTTAAATTTAACCATAAATCAGCCTAAAATTAGCCTCAATTAGATAACAATTCAGACGCTGATAGATGCTGATCGATTTCAATAAAATATAATCATTTAATATTATTCAGAACTTAAATTTAACCATAAATCAGCCTAAAATTAACTTTAATTTAGCATCATTCAGCATTAATTTAGAACTTAAACAACCATAAATCAGACTAAAATTGACCTCAATATAGCATCATTCAGCATCAATTTAAAACTTAAATAACCATAAATTAGCCTAAAATTAATCTTAATTTAGCATTATTCAGTATCAATTCAGAATTTAAATAACCATAAATCAGCCTAAAATTGGTTTCAATTTAGTATTAATTTGGTCAAATAAGTATATAAAATCGATATATTTTATTTATTAAATTTATTAAATATTAAAATTTTATTAATAATAAAAACTTAATATAATTTGCAAAAATA